GAGTGGTCGGCCTGGGCACCGGGCTTGGTGGCGGCGGTGAAGGAGTGCTTGAAGAACTTCCTCCTGGACTACAGGCGCAGGTGGGGTGCCGAGGAGATCGTGCGTCACGGCGAACCTGGAGTGAAACGGATGAGTATGGAAAGTTGGAAAACTCACGTGCAGAACCAACACCAACCCTACAGGAGGGACTGTCGGCGATGCATGGAGCTGATGGGCGTTGATGCGCCACACCGGAGGACGTCAGGAGATCGATCGGCTCACTGCTTGTCCTATGACATCTTGGGGCCAATGCCACTGGGAGATGATGTGGGTTTGGGCACGAAGTCGAAGTACATCATGGTGGCGACGGTGGCCATTCCAAAGCTGCCTCGTGGTTTGGGGGGAGGTGGAGATCGTCCAGGTGAAGATGATGAACGCCGCCCTGATGATCGAGGAGATGAAGAACGTGATCCAGTTGATCGAGGAGATGAAGAACGTGATCCAGTTGATCAAGGAGGTGAAGAGGATCCCGCCAACCGAGAAGATGGCGAACAGGTTCTGCCTCAGCTGGATGAAGTGGAGGAAGAAGACCGGGCTGCGCAGGAGGATGCAGTCGCCCTCAATGAAAGTTGGAAAAGGCACATTGATGAATTGGCTGCGCCCGTGGGAGTTCAAAATGTTACGCTGGTGGAGCCCCTGGAGTCGAGAGGTCAACATGATGTCACAAAGGTGGCCACAAGGATGTACTGCCGCTTCAAAGCGATGGGGTTGAGGATCATCCGTGTCCACACCGACAGGGAGTGCGCTTTCTTCTCCAAGGTGTTCCAGTCCTTCTGCCGGCGATTTGGTCTCTACCAAACTATGACGGGGGGCGATGAAGGCCCTTCAAATGGGAGAATTGAAACGGAGGTGCAACAGGTCAAAAGACGGCTCCGGATGTTGGTCAGAGAAAGTTGCCTTGGAGAAGAGCTGTGGCCTGGCATCGCTCGCTATGTTGGCGAAGAACGACTGCGGCATCAATGCGCCAAGCTTGGAGTCCCTTGCACACCGCTGATGCCAATTGGAGCCCGTGTCACTGTGAAAACCAAAAGGTGGCACAGGGCTGGATTTGGGCCGTTGATTCCGCCCTTTCGCACGATGACCATCCTCGGACCATCACCTTTCATGACGGAGGGCTATGTGTTGAGGGAAGGTCAACAAGTTCAACACGCACGTGTGGTTGTCCTAACTGACCCGATGGCTGACCGAGCTGTTCTGGAACTCCAAGAAGTACCTGATCCATCTCGCCCGTCACGCCGGGTTATGGGGAAACAGCCGCCTGATCCGTGCTTGCCGCAGATTCCGGCACCAAGGTTGAGTGATGATCCACATCTTCAAGCTCTTCAAGCTGGACGTGATGGTTTGGGGGGAGAGCACAAAGAAGAAGTTGGTCCAGCCCGTCACTTCGTTTGGTCTGGGGGGGAGTCTCTCCTCTTGAAAAGCAGTGATGGTGGTGAAATTCGAAAAGGATATGATGATGCACACCGTGAATGCTGGGTGTGTGGTGAGTGCGGTCTTCAGGTGCTCCCGGTGAAGTGTGGTGACCAGCGGGAGTATGTGATCGGCAAGCTGAAGGAGGTGGGACAGTGTCGCTTCTGTGAAACCCCACTTGAAGTTCCATGCCGTGATGCAATACTGGGGCGTGTGGAATGTGGGCTGGACGAGGCACTGAAACTTCGTGACCGTGGAGAAGAAGAGCACTGGAGCTGGAAGCGTCTATGGTTGGACCTGGCTAAAGACGTGGTGGTGGGTGAAGATGAAGGAACCATGCAGGGCTACATCCTCGACTATATGGAGAAGATGGTCTTAGAGATGGAGGACAAGCTGACTGAAGTGCGAAGTGGCGATGAGGAATACCAAATGGCGGCAATGGCTCTTGGCACCTCGCCACCGCAGGAGCAGCAGATGGTCCACTCAGTTCTGCAGACTTACACCGTGCCACTAGCCCAGGTTCGAAAAGATCTTCCACTATGGATTCCGCCTCTCAAGAACGAGGTAACATCGCTGGAAACGTCAACGACAGCGGTTCGGCCTGTGAAGGTGAAGGATTTGGTGAATGAGCCGGGCTACGAAGAGATGCTGGTGGTCCCATCGAAGGTTGTCCCGACGGTGAAGGCCCCGGATGCTCGCAAGAAAGCCCGCATTGTTCTCTGCGGCAACTTGGTGGAAGACACCTCAAAACGTCAAGGACAACCTATGGCCTATGAGGAGCGTCAAGATGACCTACCGTCGCAACAGAAAACTATGGGAAGCAGTTTTGACCTCTATGCCAGTGGCATCGATGGAATGTCGCTGAGGTGCACATTGCGAAAGGCGGCTCAGGAGAAGTGGTCTATTGGGGTCACTGATGTCTCCACGGCATTTGTGCTTGCACCTCGGAAATCGTCCAGGCTGATGGTGACGAAACCGCCCTCTATACTGGTGGAAGCTGGACTCATTGAACCTGACATCCGCTGGGTGATTGAGAAGGCAGTCTATGGCCTGGACACATCTCCCTCTGACTGGCAGGCCTACAGGGATGAAGCTCTGCAGAATATGCGGTGGTGGGAAGATGGTGTGCACAACTGGGTGGTTCCCACTCCAGAGCCCAACGTGTGGCGATTGATGACTGCGCCTGGAGGCGAGGAGGACTTTGTGAATGTGATGGATGATGGTTCAACGGCGGGGTATGCTCTATCCTATGTCGATGACTTCATTGTCACTGCGCCTCGGCCTACGGCAGAACGTTTTTTTGAAGAAGCTCTCAACCATGTGGAAGTGCGCAGAGCCGAAGTGGGTGACTCAGCACCAGTGGTTGAAATTTTGTGGAATAGAAATGAGGTGGAAGGGTGAGGAATTGTTGGTTGGGCAGCCTGACTACACGCGGGAAATTGTTAGTCGATATCCTGATCTTCAACCTCGCCAAGTTCCCCTCCTGAAGCTGGACGATGTGGACCTGGAGGACGAGATTCTTCAGGAGGATGTGAGAAAATGTCAAAACATCATCGGTGAGCTTCTGTGGCTATCAACACGCACAAGACCTGATTTGAGCTTTGCAGTCTCCACTCTGGGCTCCAGAGTGACGAAATGCCCGAAGAGAGCGCTCAAGTTGGCTCATCATGTGGTGGGGTACCTCATGAACACCCTTGACTATGCGCTCGCCTATAAGCCCTGTTCCGAGGAGATGGACTCCTATGGTCGGCAGAGCTCAATGTCCAGGCTGGAGGTGTTGGCGGATTCGTCGTTTGCACCAACTGGAGGAAAAGGTCATCAGGGCATCATGTGCCTCTGGGGCGGCGCTTTGGTGGCTTGGGAATCAAAGACTCAGCCCTTTGCAACGCTGAGCACAACTGAATGTGAACTTCTGGGGTACGTCGATGGCCTGACCCTGGGAGAAAGTGTTGGAGCGATTGTCAACGTCCTCGAGCAGAACGCGCTGGCCCATGAAGGCTGCTATGTTTTGCGGGGCGACAACCTGTCAGGTTTGCAGCTGCTGCATGCCCCAAGCGGGCCTTGGCGGACGAGGCATCTTCGACTCCGCAGCCATGTTTTGAGGGAACGGCTGCAGATGAAGTTGTGGCATGCAGAGCACATCCCTGGCGCTGATCTATGTGCTGACCTGTTGACCAAGGCGATCACTGTGCCTCGGAGCTGGGAGTCATTTGCTTCTACGGTGGGGCTTGCTTCGGTGGAGCCTGAAGGCTCCGGCGCTGTCTCGCTTGAAGAAGTTGGCGCTGAGTGCAGCGGTGGCATTGGGACTGCTAGTGGCGGCTCCGGGCCTGGGCACTGCAGTCCGAGCAGCTTCGGTGTGCGGCTTAGCAGCTTTGCAGCCATGGCCGGGTGCGCATGTGCGCCATGAGGGCGCCACCGGCAAAAGCTCCGCCTAGGCATGTGGGCCTGGGAACGGATGAACCTTGGGAGCTTGCGCGCTTCATGTCCCCGCCGACTGGACTTGACCGGTGGGAATGCCTTGGATGTGGCACCGCCAGCGGCGATTGGTGGGTGAGGGTCCTCAAGAGGCCTAGAGTGCGGCAGTTCCATCCGCTCCACAGAGGGACGCCCGTGTCCATTGGACGTCTCTCACCAACCCGGATCACTGTGGTCTTCAGTCGGGGGAGCTCAAGAGAAGCCTGGCGTCGACGATGCATCATCGATGACTGGGTGGAGAACCGAAATTCGGATGTGAGAGATTGCTATGAGTGGTGCGGCTACACGTTCTTCTTTGAGAAGTTTGGTCCTGAGGCTGGCACCATCGAGGGTGAGGGATCGCTGTCTTCACAGGCTCAGCTGCCGCTGCGGCCTGGTGGTGGAGAATCTCAACCCCGTGAAGGGTATGGAGGTGATGATGGCTTCTCTTCGCATGCTGTGGAGAGGGGTCAAAAGGCGGTGGAGGCCTTAACTGGCACTTCATTTCGGATGTCTCGTGCCTATGATGGCACGGCAATCACTGCACGAGTCAATGTGACCCTGGAGGGTGTCCCCGCGAGCGGCTACGAGGCGAGGCGCCTTGGATGTGAGAGGAGGGGAGAGCTCGGGCCATCTGCTTCGTCGAGGGCGGAGGACCCGAATGAGAAGGCTTGGAAGGTCTCGCTGGAAAGTGAGCGGTTAAGTCCGCCAGAAGCTGATGATTTGCCTGTGTGGATGGGCGTGAACACGCCTGTTGCGAGGCCTGGCCGGAATCCCGAAAGCGAGGACTCGAGGTCGGCTGGAAGCTTTGAGTTTGTGGGTGAAACCGTGGACGAAAAAACCTGCGGTGGATCCCAATAGAGTATGCTGGTTTCAATGACCCAGCATAGGGGGAGTGTGAATGGAAAAGCACGACCCAAAGCATACTTTTTCATGAAGGTCATGAACACCTGAAGAAGGTGAAACCATGGTCAATACGACCTGCGTTTGGCTCAAGGAACAACGTGAGCGGCTGTTTTTCGTCGGTCGCTCTTGAGGCTTTTTCCATAACCACAGATTCATTTGTACATGTACACGTTCACTGGCGGTGCGTGGAGGATTGCGTAGACGTGACTCGTCCAGAACGACTTCGTAAGCATCAGGCATGAAGACTGTGTCCGCTGCAGCTAAAGTTGCGAAAGAGCTTCCTGCATATTGATTGTAGTTGATGAAGGCTGGAATGATCTGGGTAATTCTAGAGTGAGAAACATAAGCAATGATAAGGAATGATCAGGATGTGTATAGATGGTGTATGGACACCGTGCATGATTCGCCGGAGGACGTGTTTGAAGGCGTCTTGACAGACAGCATTAGCTCTCAGTTGGTTGAGGCAACGCCGGTCACTGAAGCCATGCTAAGCCACAGCATTCCACGACTTGAAACTTTTACCATCGCATTCTGGACCTGAGACGTGAGGATGCGCATCGGTGTGAATTTTCAATTGAAGGCCGTTCGTTTAGTTTGCAGGACTGGCTGCCTTGCGTTTGATACTCTCACTATTGAGAATCTACTGCGTACTCTTTGCAATGCCCGGTATCTATTTGCTTACCATTACTGAAATTTGTTTTGTCTTGCAATTTTCCTGACAACTCATGTTGTATGCAGGATGTGCTTCAAGTTGAAGGCCAGCAGGAAGAAAGGCCAGTTTGAGGGCACAGCAAGGCTGTGGCTGTGTCATGCGCACCGACAGTCACTGGTTGCCAAGGTTTATTGGCAATGTCTGCAGGGGTATGTATGCCAAATCTTGCGATATCGGGCTGTTGACAAGACATTTTGGATAGGAGTGACTGTTTGCATCTTTTGGATCTCATATTCCAATTCATTTCACAATGTCTAAAAATATGTCATTTCTCCTACTTTGTCGTGATATTGTTATGCCACGTTATGCCATTCATACTATTAGATCCATTTGGGCCTGGTTGCGTTCCCCTGCCAGTTCTTGATCTCATCGCTGTGCTTGTTTGGGAAATCATATAGTCAAAACGAGTCAAAACATCTCTCCCTCTCTCTCTCTCTCTGTGTCCTCTCTTGCCGTACAAACGGACCTGCCAGGAAAAGACGCATTGCGCAGTTCCAAAGCGAGTGGTGCTGGCGAGTTGACAGGAACATACAGGAGCTGGATTTGCTTTGCAAATCAGATGGCCAAATTTCACAGGTTCAAGACATTCTTGTCTTTGGTCTTCAGACATCTTCAGAATATTAAGGTGTATGCGTAGCGTTGCGTAGCCCGTTGGGTCGTACAAGGGTGAGGACGTGACGCATCACATCGTATATTTGGAAGCAGGGTTGCACCTTGTGTCATTTGATGTCGCATTAATTGCTGGTAGAACAGCGTGGCAGGCTCGTGCATGCGTTGGAGACCTACCTCCTTAGTTATGCAAAGAAAGGGCGGCCGCCTCAGTGTCAGAGACTGTGCACGAGAAGCTTCTGTTTTCCCTCTCTGAATGCAGAACCGGTCCGAACCAGTCCCACCCAGTAGGCTGAACGCCTGGGGGTAGCTGCTCATGCAGGACGGAAACGCACTTCGGCCACTTCCACATCCACCCTTGAAAGGGAAATCAGGGTTCATATTGGGACACATGCGAGCAGACACGTGAAGTTTATTGTGCTCGAGTTTGTCACGACCGAGTCCTTTGAAAAACATGTCTGATTTTTTGGAATGTCCTGCAAGTATTAAAGTGATATGAAACTACTTTAATTACTTGATTACTTGATTCGTGAGCACATGGTTACGTGATGTTCCTTGCTCTGATGGGCATCACCTTGGGTCGCCTTGTGGAAGTTTCAGAGCAATCCTGGGTTCTTTTCTTGCACATATGCCCACACACACACAAACACACGCACAACTTTTTGCATGGGTGCATATTATATAGAAGTTGGACAACATTTTGTTCTATCTCTCTTACTTTATCTATATATATTGTTGGGATGGTGGTTTAGCCAATGCAGCTGCACCCAGGTATGGCCTTGGTGATGGGCCTGGCACAGCCCTTCGTGCAGCCACAGGTGAACCAGCTGACGCTTTGTTTCCTTTGTGCCTCGGCTCATGCAGCGGGGTTGAGCTGGAGATGTCTGTTGGTTTGGGGGTGTTGGTTGACGTGGACCTCCACACAGAGTTGGGTGTGACATGCGGATTTGGTTGACATGCCAATGAGGTGCACCATCTCCGATGGTGAAACCAGAAAGCCTTGGCGCGGAGATGTTTCTCAGCGGGCTTGGTCAGGTCAAAGGTCCAACCACACAGAAGATCACACAGATCCTCCACGTTTTGGGAGAAAAACCATCACGTTTGGCTTGCGTGACCGTTCCAGAACGGTTTGGCCTTGGCAGGTGGGAGGTGGATGCAGGTGGGAGGTAGCCTGCGGTGTGCGCGTTTCGCCGTGGATTTCCACGGAGGTTTGGCTCTGGCCGTGGGCTTCCGCTTCTGCGTCCTCCTCTCCCGCCTGGCGCTGCTTCCACCGCTGCTGCTGCTGGCGGTGACGTTGCTCCGCCCTGACTCGCAGCAAGCGCTGGCACTGCGACTGCAGGAGGTGCTGGCGCCCGCAAAAACGGGTGCGTGGGTGTGGACATGCGTGGCAGACGGACGGACTTCAATGAGGGCGTTGGGTTTGTCCCCACATCCCATCACCCAAAAAGCCCGACGCAGCAACCGGTCCGAACGGGACATCATCGGTGAGACCTTCCCCCTGTCTGGTCTTTACGGACCTCATTGGACCTGTTGGATTGGGGAACATGCCAGTGCTCCAGTGCTCCAGTGCTCGGTGAATTTCACCAGGTGTCGCGCCCGACTGGAACTGGTAAGTCCGACTGGACTGGGGAACCGCAGTTCTTCATCGGGTGGGGAGACGAGACCGGCGACCAGACGGGCGACCAAGATCCACTGGACTGGGCGTCCGTGCCCCCCCCGCCGGTGCAGAGCTTTTTTCATCCTGTCGTCCACCTTTGGGACATGAGGACATGAGGACATGACGCGTTGCACCAAGGTCAAAGGATGGTAAAAGGGGCAGGTGTTTGGATGATCTGATGGAGTTGGCTTTCTTGCTTTTCCAGGGAGGCCTCCCGACGGCCCGCTCGTCTTCTTTTCTTTTGTTTCGGGATCCGGTGCCCGACGGTGGTGGCTCATGTTCGCGGAGCAGGGGCAGACCTGCAGGAGTTGGAGACGAAGCTGGATGACTCGGATGCTGCGGTCGTCACCACGGAGCAAGTGCAGTTCTGGTGAGGCGGAGCAGGTGCCGAGCGAGCGAGCGAGCGAGCAGGTGCTCGGTGCTCCAGCAGCTGTGAAGCTGAGTGCACCATGAGGGCACATGAGCAGCCAAGAACTCCCATGTGGAGGTTTAGTACGAAGGTTACTGGAACATTCTGGCGCTAAAGCCAAGACTTAGGATAGAGGTTTCTGGCATGGCTCGGAGAACCAGGGGTGGATGAGGCGGGGGGGTCTTATCACCTGACTCACTCCAAAGTCTGCCATTTTCTTTGATAGATGTTCCATGATGTTCCTACCTAGTGCTACCTGTAGGGATGTCCAATGGCAAGTGGCATGGGGTTGCCCGAGCGTTCTCAAACTGCTACAGGCTACTGATTGCTGTAGACTACTGTACACCGTGGATGGAAAAAACAACCCATATGAAGATCCAAGTGAGGAGGTCCTGAATTTTGAATCAACAGTTTACAATTGTCACCATCCATGGACCCACTCAACAGCAGGGGCATGTGAAGTTGACCTGGTTTCGTCGTCTCAAGTCCTTCGTCAAACAGGTGGTTGTTCGGGATTCAGACTCTTAAAGCAATGGTGGGCCAATCCAACTCGGGCCGGGAATCTCAGTGACCTTGCTTCGGGTTGATGATGACGTGAGTGTTTTTGGTTAACATTAATGATTCTGGTCGAAGGTGTGAGGCGAACGCGAAGCCGCGAAGCCTGACGCCACGCCGATATCACAGATTTTTTTGAGACGGCTTAAGGAACTGAACTTGGATCTACGACAGGCCCCTAGAAGTTTGAGTGTTCATGTGCAGCAGGCTTCCAGGAAGTCACTGGTTTTAGCACTTTGACAATCTTCCACACCACAGCCACAACCTGCTATGTTGCCATGTGTGGGTGTTTCTCAAACTGACGGAGCCCAACGTCACCCATACATCCAATTTACCCTCTGACTCACTAACATGGAAGTGGAAGATGATCACTTGGATCGCGACTTTCCTCTACAAACAGTGGGTTTTCCACTTCCATGTGATGTGTTCGTCGGAGTGTATCTCATTTCCATTTTAGCACATTCGACTTTCAAGGGCATGTGCGGCGGGCTCGGACCCTCGCCAGGCGTGACTCGCCATCGCGGTTCGCCAGCTTGACTCGCCTGGAAAGGAAAAAGGGCTGTGCAGCGGGACCAAGCGCCGCTGGATGTCTTCTCTCAGCATGATGACGGGGTACCAAACGATGGAATTCTCGTCGCCCCATGGTGCCACATCTTGGCCAATTCGGCAAACCTACCCCGCTGAAAACCACTGGTTGCTAGAGGAAAACAGGCTTCAGGGCGCCATCTCAGAGTCAGTGTAAGTGGTTTCGGCGCCATCTCGATGCTCCTTGGAGCCCAGTGCCTTGAGCGCCCGTGAATGCCTAGGCAGGACTAGGTCAGATGGTGGACAGCTGAGACTCCAATAGGATAGGAAGGGGTCGCAGAACCGGTCACAAGCTGAACCCCTTGAACTCACCGAAGCGGAACAGGTATTTAAAGCAAGCTTTGCAGAACTCACAATGGCCATCCAAGTGTGCACACGAACTGGACTGGTCAGGTGGTTCTGGATGAATTTTGCACCTCTTTTTAGTCAAACTCCTTGATCAAGTAGTTGGTTGGCCTGAATGCATGTGCAACGATTGTGCTGAGGTATGTGCCACCCTGCTACTCTCCGCCATCTTGTGAGTTTGTCACCGGCAAGTTTCTGTGTCATTGGAGAGGAGTGCTGGAAACTCCATCAGCAGATGGAGATGGAGTTGTAGAACAGACAAACATGCAGTCAATGGAGAAACCCGGCATGCGCACCACCACGCCCGAGACAAGAGAGGAGTCAGTGAGTTCTTGTATCAGATCATGCAGAGAGTTTGTATGAAATTGTAATGAGTCACGATTGATTTTGGTTTTAAGGTGTAGTTGAAGCACTCTTAGTTGCAACTTGCAACGCTGATAGGCCACAAGCTCTCCTGCAATGCCAAACCGTTCACTCTATTTTGGGGTTCCCGACTACATGCGTGAAACAGAGCGCCAGATGACAAGCCTGAGGGTGCACACCGGTTTCATTGCCTTTGTACATGCAGTAAGTTGCTACGGCTGATCTATGTTATGTTTCGAGTCGTATGTTTGTGTATCTAAGAGTTCTGTGTACATGACAGTTCTATGAGTTCAAGTTCTGTCTCTCTCTCTCTATATACACTCGTTGGTATATCATGGTGTATAGCTATGTTTGGCTAAAGGAGTTTTGCATATTACCCAGACACTCCATGGGACTGCCATATATGCCGATCAATTGACCCCTCTGGCACCACCCCAACTGATCGGTAGTCCTATGGCAGTCCCAGACGGGTCGCATCTGGGTATTATAAGCTCAAGATGTTCGAACTCTTCGATCTTCCGACCCCCCCACACACTTCTTCAGTCTGAGAACCACTTCTTCAGTCCGAGCGTTGTTGGAGGACACTTGCAGTGGCCCCCCCCAAATTCCCGTGGTCCATTATCTTCGGCACGTCAAGTGAGCCAAAGAAGCAGCATGAAGAAACACAAATCAGGAGTTCCATGTCCGGGGTGCTTATTGAGGGTGGGTGTGCCCATTATCCACCCACTCTTCTCCACCACCCCTTGGAACAACTGGAGAAAACTCCATCTTTGTTGGCGTCGCAAACATCTGCGGCATTCACTAAGACTGCAGATTCAGACGCACGTGAGGCTGTGTAGCGCAGAGCGCAGCTTAGCCTGAATTTGCCTGGGATTACTTCTGCTGCGAGCAGAGACCGCCCCAGGCACATTTTGGCCGCTTGCTTTGTCGAAGCTTAGCTTAAACCAGCCAGCTTCCGAAAAAAGAGCTTTGCATAAGGCAAGTTATGCACCTTCTGACCAACTTATTTTCACCGGATGAAGATGAGGGTGCACGATGGGGCACGTTGCAGGAGAAATAGGAATGGGTAGAAGGTCAGAAGTAGACCCTTCCGGACCAAGAGTCCCATGCTACGATCATATCTGGACACTTGGCTCTTCAAACAGGGCATCCGAACCTCCAAAGTCTTGGCCATGTGACAACGTATGTAACCTCAACAACGTATGTGATATGATTATATATATATATGAGATATGCTTTTCAAAAAGAAGTTAGGTTTTCGGCTTACTTGCCATCTTTCCAAAGTTTTCGAAGGAGTTCATCAATTTCCAGCTTACCATCTCTTAGATCCAATTCGGGGGATTCAGCAGCTCGAATCCGTCAACGAACAGTCAGACAGCTGAAGCGGCTGGTGGGTCCTCAAGAGGAGGATCGAACTCGCTGGAGACGCTGTCCTGCGCCTTGCGTGGTCGGAAGAGAAACGCGAAAGAAGAGACGGAGCGCCGGACGGCGGCGCTCCGCCGGGTCGCGGCGCTGGTTTGAACTTGAAGACCTGGTGCCCCTCAAAGTGAGGACCTAGGGGAGAGCAAACTGGACATGGAAGATTTTCTTGAAAATTTTCATCTTTGAACCATGTTTTGCCCAACATGTTTTGTTTTTTGATGTTTTTTGTCTTCAGGCATTCTTGCCTGTGAGAGGAGGGTTTTTCCTCGAACCTGTTCACCATGTTGTGTTTTCTTTTCTCGTGTTGCTCCTTCGACGTCCTGAGTCCTGAGAGCCAAGGGCGAAAACGAAACGAGACACACCATGACTCGAAACGAGACACTGCACCGAGGCAGTACCTCAAGGCATTCCCAACTGAGTGATCAGCAAATCTCTAAAGAAACCCTTTCTTATCCTTTCTGGTCCTTCCTTTGCAACTGGGTCCGGCTTGAAGTCATCTGCTGAAACACGGACATCATGAAGGCATACAGCATTGGTTCACCCTTCCCATCGACACCAGCACACGCTTCAAAAAAAGCGGCGGGGCTAGCTGCCTCGGCTTCCAGGTTTGGAGTGCAAGCATGCATACTTCGGGTTTGTCCATTCTTACCTGTAGAGTCGTCAGGTTTCACCAGCAAATCACTCGTTTGGAACAAGGCCTGCAACCTACCCATCATCATCCACTGGGCCCTAGTAATAGGATAGACCAAAGCATACTACATATACTCCTCAAGAAGTTCCGCCAGGGCCCTCCACCGAGCCATGGTCCATGGCCGCGCTTTCCTTTTCGGCAGAGGAAGGCACCGGAACGGACGTTGACAACTGGTCTGGGACATGTGCAACTACCTCAGATTCCCTGGTTGGGTGTCCCTGGTTTGGTTCTTCCATGGTAAAAGAGTCAACCTGGGATACTAAACTAATTCCATGCCATTTTTTGTTTACATGAAATAGTAGTTTAGTCCGTCACTTCAGGGATTCGCTGGTTGGAAGAGAGGCTTTCTTGGACCATGGGCCTGGTTGGGCGTCGACTCTTAACAGCCACCACAGTAGCTCCCGCGACGACACCGTGCTTCGAAGGATGTGCACCGGGCTGGTGATTGGTTTGAAGGGATTTATTGGTCATTCACCATTATAACGCTCACCGTCGGAGGACTCCTAATGTTCGACCAATGTTGGAACATTCATATTTTGTGGACAATATTGTCCGCATCACACCAGTACTACTAGTAGCAAGAAGCTACTAGGTGGCTACTAGGTGGAGGTGGAGGCCATTGCCATTTCGTTGCAGGCCATTACTACTAGTAGCAAGGATGCTACTAGTAACAATGTCAAAACGTTTGTGCGGCACCCGCCTGATTCATGGTGGCTTCAGGCTCGTGCCACGGCTGAAGGGTGAACACTATTGAACACCTTCAAGTTTAAGTGCCAGCAGTGGGGTGTCGTTTCCTTTGGATCTGGTCAAAAGCAAGGCGACTCTTATTGGAGCATCCCACGAACGCCTCCCAAACGGTTCCAACAAATGTCCCGAGCTGGTCCTGCCTTGGATGGTAGACACCTCCAAGTCGTCGTTTTTCAGGTCGATGGCAATTCAAAGACTTGAGACCCCTAGCTCCTCAAAGATCCCAAACATTCTGTGTAAAGCAAGGCATCCACCATTCTCAGTTTCAACCACTGGAGCTGGGGCCTTCTTCAGTCTTCCTTGCTTTGTGAGCCTTTGTCCCATGTTCCTTCCGACGCTGGCGACTGGGGCCTGGCCCAAAGTCGTGCGGCTTAGTGGAGGGTCCAATCAGTGTGGGGAGTTCAATGGAGAGTACATCTTGCAGGACCCGTTTGCCAGAAGATGTGCAGGAAATCGCCCTTGCGGCCAGGCCAAATCCACTTTCCCTGAGATTGTGGCTTGCAGCTAGTTGGAAGTGAAATTTATCACACTTACAATCCACCATCAAAAGCTTATTGAAGGCCTTGACAATGATTGCTGACTGTTTCTAGGATCTGGTTTGGGGTGCCAGGCTGCACGAAAAAATCCTGGTAGAACTGATTTATGACCCGCTGGTCAAGTTCTTTGGCACGCCCTGTTTCAGGACAAAGTGCAACTCTCACAAAACTTCAAACCTTCCTGGGTCTCACCCAGTGGTCATTGCATGTTCTACGACGCGCGCGAGCGAGAGTCCGTGGGCTTCTCGTCGTGCAAGCTCCGATTCGACCACCTACATCTTCACCAAGCTGCGAGCCCCGGCACCCGGGAGATTTGGAGTTCAACATGCACAGTTGCAGGGTGCTCGCGCTCAGCTCGCATCCGGTGACTTCGACACTTGGGAGGTTTGGGAGGAAGGACGTTGGATGGCGAAGGCGGGATTGTCACTCCACCCGGTGCTGGGACGTCCGAGTGGCCTGAGAGTGTGATAGAAGAGTTTTCCTTTTTCTTCTGCTTCCTTTGAAATAGGGCCCCCTAAGCTTTAAGGCTCAGTGGAATGCAAGGGAACAGTTCTTGTGATTCCTTGATCCTTGATCCTTGTGCAGATCCTTGTCACACGTCACACCGGTCAGCCAATCCTAGGTACTGCTTCGATGCCTGACCTGGCGATGGCTTCCATGCCCATCTGTCGAGATGACCACGGGCAGCTGCAGCTGAAAGCGGAGGTGCGCCAGTCTAGCACGTCCACACGTGAAGGGCGCACGAGTAGTGAGCACACAGCACTTACATGTACTCCTAGAACCCAGACATGACCTGCCTTTGAATAGGACAAGGGCCGTATTTTGCACAGTTCTCCCATTTCGGCTGACACACTCAATGGGCTGTCAATGGTGCTTTTTGGGACGTCCTCTCTGGCAGGTGCGCGAGATGAACTCCACGGAGCATCGTTGCCCGGACGGAGGTCTTTGCGGTTGCCGAACTGGTTCAGAACTGGAAAGACGAAGCAGACAGCGCTGCAGAGCGCTCGTCCTACTCAGCAGGCATGGCAAGCCCGGCGACCGGCGGTTTTCGGGTGATCTTTACTTTCCATCTAGTCATCTAGATGCGAGTCCCCTTCGGATTATGTTCAATTTTTTGTCCAAGGCCCAAATCCAAGAAAGCCGTCCATCGCGAGGCATCCATTTTTAGGACCGAGTCTGAGGTTTTTCACCTTGGTTCTGGACATTGATCTGCCAGAGGTGCAGAAACCACCAGGACACGGCCCCCAAACGAATCCAATGGCTAGGCTCGACAGCTGGAAGATAGGCAAAGTCGTTTCATTGACATAGGACCTTCGTAGCAGGGGTTGGAACCCTTGATGGATTCTAGTGATTCTAGTGAGGGTACTGGTTTCTTGGGGTACATGGCGTTTTCCCATGGGTTGTGAATCGTCGACCAGCGCACAGACCTACCATCCCACAGACCTACCCCCTACACCAATCATTGATCACTTGACCAGCGCACAGGCAAAAAAGACATGGGACCCTGCGCAGGTGATATCATGGTCTCCAAGACTAGCAAGCGAAGCCACTCGGGAGAGGAGGCCACAACCTACAACCTCTACATTGTCAAGGGCAAAGGCAAAGGCATCATTTTGATTGCATCTTTGGAGGTTCGAGGAGAATCGCCGCATGCAACACATGGGTCCGTTGCAGCCCCTTAAAGGCATCACTTCTTTTGATTGGGTTGCATTTCCATTCGCCATTTCTGTTTTTGCGGGCAGTGCCTTCGACAGTTCATCGCACAGACCCCTGAGAGGAGAGGAAGGTGGCATGAATCTGAACCTGACAAATTTCTCCGATCCTCAGTTTTGCCGGAGAATTATGTACTCGTCAGACTCGTCAGACGGTAACCCTTGAACTCCAGATTTTGGTTTCATTTTTGGCACACCTTTCTGCTCTCTCTGCTCTCGGTGGCTTGGACAAGTAAGGACCAGATGCAAGTGGAAATGCTTTTTGACGGTTGGTCTGGACAAGATGAGCTTCGTGGACAGCGGCGCGGGAAATTTGGAGATGGCTTGCAGTCTGCCATTTGCGTTCTGTCCAGAAAGCCTGGGGTTGAGGTGAAGATATATTCAAACGGGCACATTTGGAGCTTTGATTGGGCCTTCACCACTCAGGTTGCCAAAGTGCGCAATGTGAAGTGCCTCCGGGTCAAAACTGATCCCTGCGCACCTTCGCAGCCCTTCGACAGCATCAAACACACAAAAGTCCAAATCAGCGGATTACCCAAGAATGCGTTTGATGAGACACAATTTCTCTTTTTGTGCCCGTCCGTTGCTTCGATGTCGAATGATCATGGCGACATTTTACTTGGCAAGGACTTTGCAGGGACGATTTACGTCGCGAGATGAGGGTGCTCAAAAAAGCGGAGAACATGCACGGATTGAACCTCCAGAAGCTTGATCCCGCAAGCAGGGACCGGATCAATCACTTGCAGGAGGGCCAAAAGCTTTTGCACAGTTTCAACGTGTGGCATACGGAGGTCAATGGCAAGAATCAGCTGCAAAGATGCCTCACATGAAACGCCTTGGATGACCGCAACTCTCTCGAGGCTCGTGCGTTCACTCACCCAGAGCTTGAAATGGTCATCACGCTGAATGACGCAGCTGCGAGGCTGAGGAAAGTCTTCGAGTCGAGACATCCCGATGCGTTTGCGATTTCGGAGACGGACTACGTGGGGCACAAGATTGTTACACAGAAGATGAAGAAGAAGGCAGTCAACATCACGCCGAAGTTGTACCAGGTACTAAAGAAGGACCCATCCATGAAAACACCTCAAGAGCACTGGCAGGCACAGCAGAAAGAGCTAGCAGAGACTGCGGAGCGCATTGCCTGGACACGGAAACACTTCTTGATGGTCCAAATCGTTCGAGATTCCTAGGTGTGCTTATTACACTTCCTGGAACTAAAATGGAAGTGGAGAATGGCCCCGAGTTCGGAAGACCATGAAATCCACTACAAACAGGTGGTGCCATCCACTTCCATGTGAGTTCCAGGGAGAGTATATTCTTTTCTTCTTCTTCTTCACTTTTGGGAGGTTCTTTTCTGCGGAGCCCTCCAGTTAAGCGAGCAAATGGTTAAGTTCCCCTCCAGCGAAGCAAAGGATTCCGTTGGAATCGGCGCGCCATGCCAAGTGGTTTACGAGATGAACCCTGGAGAAGATATCAGGCCTTGGAGAAGCGCGGTGCTGCCTTTCATTTTGGCCCTGCTGTTGCCAACTGCTGCCCTTTCACCCAAAACGCCCATTTATGTTTCTAGATTCTAGAGTCTAGAGGACCCTGGGGCCCCTTCTTTTTGATTTGTTCTTCTCACAAAAGTGCAAGCAGGACCACTTAGCACATGTCTTCACCTGCATTCGCTATGTTGATGTACTTTTTTTCCCGAATGCGTAGCGAAGGGTTCTCGTTTAACTAGGGAGTCTGAGGGTAGAGCTGTGTTTGCCCGACGTTGTTTTCGAGTTCGCAACCGTTTGCAACCGTCCGCAGCCGTCTGCAACCGTCCGCAACCGTTTGCAACCGTCCGCAACCGTCCGTATGATGTCTCTAAGGCCCTGGGGGAAGCTTTTGCAAGTGACTCTTCATGGATGTGTCACGTGTCAGTTTGCGCCGCTATTACATTGTGATTTGCATGAAAGTGACATGTCGCGCAAGAAACGTGATGCATTTCGCTGCACAGGCACAGGGTTTCGTGAAAGTGACACGTTTGTGTCGGTATTCCATTGGGATTAGCGTTTGGAGAGTCGTGTTTTTGGGGTGTTGGATGTGGCCGTGCCATTGGGGTTTGCGTTTCAGGGTGTGGCATCGAAGCGCTGTTTTCGTGGCAAGTCTCAGCTGAAATGGTGACTTTGGTGGATGGGAGTGTGCTCAGAACGGGCCGAAATCATTCCAAACGTGTGGTGTGGTGCAAACTTTGTTGAAGCCCACATGAGATGACATTGTCACTTTTCGTGGCAGGCGCAGTACTTTGTGCGGGTTTTGAGGTGTGGAAGTGCGATTTTCGTGGCAGGCGCAGGGAATCGTGAGGTTGCGATTGTGACGGAGGTGACATTTCGTGGCAGGCGCAGTACCTTGTGCGCGTTAGACGTGTGGACGCGGAAAGATTCGTGGCAGGCGCAGGGAATCGTGAGGTTGTGCGTTGTGGTAGAGGTGAATGTCGCTGGGACATTGGGATTGGCGTGTGAGCGGGTGTCGTTTCGAATCGCGAAACTGCTTGGCAGGGCTGCGCGATGGGTGTGCTCCGATGGGTGTTTCCGCTTGGCTTTGGGAGGAAGTCTCGTACGAAACGCTCGTTTTGCAGACTTTGACATGTGAGTTTTTGAGGAAGTCTCGTACAAAACGCTCGTTTTGGAGCCATGACGTGTGACTTTTGGAAGAGTCTTGTGCGAAACGCTCGTTTTGGAGACTTGACGTGTGACTTTTGGAGGAAGTCTCGTACGAAACGGTCGTTTTGGAGACTTGGCGCGTGACTGTTGGAGGGAGTCTCGTACGAAACGCTCGTTTTGGAGACTTGACGCGTGACTTTTGGAGGAAATCTCGTACGAAACGCTTCAAGAGTGCCTAGCAAAGAGTGCCCAGCAAGAGTGTCAAGCAAGAGTGTCTAGCAAAGAGTGTCAAGAAAGAGCGTCTAGCAAGAGTGTCTAGCAAAATGTCTAGCAAAGAGTGTCAAGAAAGAGTATCTAGCAAGAGTGTCTAGCAGAATGTCATTTCAAGAGTGTCCAGCAAGAGTGTCTAGCAAAGAGTGTCCAGCAAGAGTGTCTAGCAGAGTGTCAAGCAAGAGTGTCAGGCAAGCGTGTCTAGTGCCGAGCAAGAGTGCCAAGCAAGAGTGTCAAGCAAGAGTGTCTAGCAAAGAGTGTCCAGCAAAGAGTGTCAAGAAAGATTGTCTAGCAAAGAGTGTCAAGAGAGAGTGTCGAGCAAGAGTGTCCAGCAAGAGTGTCCAAGCAAGAGTGTCCAGCAAGAGTGTCAAGCAAGAGTGTCAAGAGAAAGTGTCAAGAAAGATTGTCTAGCAAAGAGTGTCTAGAAAGAGTGTCAAGCAAGAGTGTCGTGTCAAGAGTGTCCAGCAAACGTGTCAAGCAAGAGTGTCAAGCAAGAGTGTCTAGCAAAGAGCGTCAAGATAGAGTGTCTAGCAAAGAGTGTCAAGAAAGAGTTTCAAGCAAGAGTGTCCAGCAAGAATGTCTAGCAAAGATTGTCCAGCAAGAGTGTCCCGCAAAGAGTGTCAAGCAAGAGTGTCAAGAGAAAGTGTCAAGAAAGATTGTCTAGCAAAGAGTGTCAAGAAAGAGTGTCAAGCAAGAGTGTCGTGTCAAGAGTGTCCAGCAAGAGTGTGAAGCAAGAGTGTCCAGCAAGAGTGCCAAGAACAAGTGTCAAGAAAGATTGTCTAGCAAAGGGTGAGACTGTTTAGCAAGAGAAAGTCTCGTGGAAAATGCTTGTTTTTGGAAGCTTTGAGTGCTACGCTTCTATACAAAGTGACCGCATTCGGGTTCGTGGGTTCTATCAGGTTCTTTCAGGCTTCAAGAGAAACGTTGCGGTGATGGTTCTGCTCCCAAGGGTGGAGATGCTGCATAAATAATACTTGCTTGGGTCTTTCGAGCATCACCTGGGGACGAAGATGCGTGCTCCTAATGGTTCCTGAAATGGTCCCTTTGTTTTCGATCCACCACTTGAGCATGACCATCAAGCCCTTGCGCATGCCGGCCTGACCGCAGGCTGCAGTATGAGAGGGGAAGCCACAAGATTCATGTGAAGGATGTGAAGGAAGATGGCCCTGCGCATGACGCAGGGCTAACTCCGGGATCAGAGTCATGGTTTTGCTCAGGTGATTTTTATGTTCCTATGGGTGAACCCCCTTCCGGGAAAATGCTTTCCCAGTTCCAACCGCAAATCCAAGGAGTTGACTGAGAGCACCATCGATTGGTGGCCCATGGCTTGGTCAATTTCTCAGTTGCCACTGACGGTCGACCAATTTGTGAAGGCTTGCCGTGGCCAGGTGTGGGTGGCCAAAACTCATTTGCAACAATTCCCGTGGGTGGAGGAAGCAGACCTACTGTAAATACAAGAGCAACTGCAGATTTTTGATAAATAGTTCCGTGGCATAAATCGTTTGCAAAAGACTTTTGGGAGATGCCTTACCGGATCAAGCATGCACGTGCCTCTTTGGTGAATCATACCCTGTGCAGTACCCTGTGACCTTCACCTTTCGTGGCAAAACATTTGACATGCCCTCCGGGCAATTTGACTTGGTGCATCGTTCCGACTTGCACGTGCCTTTGGTCATCCTCAAAGCTGCTAGCCCCAAGATGCAGGGAGCCAAGTTCGTTGTGAATTCCTACAAGTGCAACTTCCACCAACGGACCAACAGCTCTCTGGTTGGTGGTTTGGAAGTTCTTTCCCAATTTGGAAATAGCCGTGGGACTGATACTTTTGGGAATGGCTAATGTACTCCACTTGGCCCAACAATCTTTTCGGGATGGCGGATGACTTCAATTCACCAACCAGGCGCACTATTGGAATGTCCAACCCTCAACGATGGCCTTTGCTACTGTGGCGTTGATGAGCTCTATGAAGCAGCCGCTCGGAAAGCCAGCCAGATTTCAATCCATTTCAGGAGGGCCCCTCAAAGTGCAAACTTTTGTATGGTGAGGCAAAGCTGACGCCCTGTGAGGTCATCGACGAGATCGAGAAGACCAAATCCAAGTTCTCAAAACGTGAAAGACGTTGGATGGATCACAAAAAGATGCAGCTCTTGCAGAAGCACAAGGTCAGATGAGGATGAATATACTGTACAACCTTCTAATTCTAGGCTTTGAGCTTCTTGGTTGTGCGGCTGGACGAAATACGCGTTGTGAGGGATATATATGTAGACCATATTTTGGGTGGTTTGTGGTCTAAAATAGAGGTCATTCAGGTTCTAGGTATATGACAGCTTTGCTTGTGAAGGTGTTCGTAGTGCCATGCGAACGCAGGATAACTTTTCGCTGGTGCCTGTGCCGAAGCCCGGGGCCTCTGGTGCATCGTTGGGTGGAGCTGGAAGAATGGCTGGGGCAGCTAGCCTCATCCCCAAGCCCAGTGCCTTGGCCGCGATGGCCAACTGGGTGTGTCGAAACTGGCCGGAATTAGCTGGTTGGCAGAGATCCAAGCAGCAGGTCTTTTTTTCTCAATATGTCCATTTAAAACGGGGAGATGGGACATGCTTGCGGGCTTTGTTGGCGTCAATCCTTTCGCCAGCGGTTTTGCCGGCGTCAACTAGAGTGTGATTGTATTGATGCACTGTAATTTTTTGGGTCACCCATGTTCAATTTGGTTTTTGCTGTTCTCAGACGTCCTCAGCCTCACAACAAGCAGAACAGCTCAAGGAGCTTGTGCTCTGCTTTAAGACTTCGCATCAGAGAAGGCAAAGCAAAACATGCTAAA